ATAATATAATATATATTTGAAATACATATATTTTTTCTTCTTAATGAAAGAAAGACTTTTACCATTTTCTTAGAAGCCTATAAGGTTCTGTAATAATGGGCTGAGACGCAGTTGTGTCTTTGTTGTTACTCTCTCAGTGGCAAGTTTATGTAATAATCTTTCTGCTGAGTTCCTAAATCACTCATGATAACCATCACTGTTGTGTATGCACACCTCAGTTTCTCTGGAAAGAAGTGGAAGTCAGCATAACTCATTATCATTCTCAAATCCCTCTAGGTCTTCTACTTTCACGCACAGATGTGTTAGAAAAATACTGTATTCCTGACTGAGTTCAGGCCACAAGCCCTTTATGGATTTACCCTTCTCTAGCAATTGCTTGTTGATAGATACAAGTAAGAGTCTTGCAGGCAAACTTTGTCATTTGTGCAGAAATTTCTGAAATGTTCAGAAACATTATGGCCCAGTTCATGGTTGTTCTGAGCTACTCACTTTCACTCTTCCACTGTGGATATCAGTTGTATGTATGTATATGAAGTCTGCCTTTCATATGCCACTTACCATGGTGACTTATTTCCAATTTGCATTACCAGAGCTGTAAGAAAGATGTTTTACTCTCCTCGTGGAATGAAAAAGATTTACTGATKTCCCCTTTACCCATAATTTATTGATTACACTGCCTTATATGCCCGGCACAAATGATAATTATTCTTATCAGTTGCCAAGCTGATAAACTGGGAATGAATTATTTTGAGATGTCACCATCAATTGTCAGATAACAATCTTATGACCATTCATTAGCCTCATGTCTTCAACATCAAAGAACTTGCTTTTAGGTGACTGATCTTCTCTTACTGGAAGATCAGCTTGCATTTCATTTAGGCAGAAATATTGTTGCCACTGCTTCTTGATTTCCTACATCTAACACAAAATCTCCATTTAAAAAAAAATATTTCTGAAGATATAAAATTGATGAGAGAGTTTATACTTTGGAAAACGGCAAAAGTTAGGAATCCATCCTGTGACTACCTTCTTTACATAGCTGTACTATTTTCCAGGTTTTACTTTTCCAATCTCCAAGCAACTTCATCACTGTTGTGTTCTTAAACACAGAGAGTGTATTTGCAGAGTGGAATATACCTTTGGTCTATCTCAGGACTTATTCATTTTTAAAAAATAGTAAATGTAAGGCTCAATTATAATGAAATAGATAGAAATGGTTTAATTCCCCAAGCTAAATACAATAATTAAGAAACTTTTAATACGTCAGTCAGTRGCCTAAATTAAAATTTTATTTGACCGAAATTCAGTCAGTTCTTTTTCTGAGGGGAATTGTTTCTTTCTGTATCCCTACATTTATTTGTACATTTATCATATAACTAAATAATGGTACAAAGAGAACAGATTCTTGAGGATTTTTGCTCCAAGGTAAAGTTATTTGCAGTGTAGCACAAAAGAGGGAAGGCTTGCTGAGAGTTAAGCCAGTTTGCAGGGATTTCAATAAGTTACTAAATCCAAGAGCAAAAGAATAGTAGTATCTTATCTTTAAGTTCAATACCTTTGACTCCCTGAATCAAATGATCAGAACTAATTTCCAGACAGATCAGCTGTGGCTCGCTTTTGTCATGAGTTTACAGAAAGATGGACTTTGTGTGATACCTTAATTGCACTGTGCCATTTATCAGTAGAGTTCAGTTTTAGGATTTAGGTAGTTAAACTGTATTTACCTCTGCTGATTGCAAAGGGTACATGGTTGAGTAACTCAGTTGGAAATATCTAAAAGTTGCTTGTTGTGAATGTCCATTTTCCCAATATCAATGTGAATTTTCACTTAGTTCCTTTTATCTCTATATCTGTGTTTGGATGATAGAACAGAAACATTTAGAGACATGATTATTAACATTCTGACATCTCCTTAAATACAATATTAGTTCTGCTTGCAACTTACTTTTCATGGATTTTAAATATCAGTTATTGTTTCCCCCTTAATTGCTCCAAATTCCACTCACATGTAGGATATTGTCAAGTGAGAGAAGGAAGTGAGCTTTCATCAGGCTGCTAGTGGATAAAAGCATTGTGTGAATCAGTACATCTGCAAAACCATCTCTATTGCTTGATCCTGAGAAAGGTTGGTATAACAGGATAAATAAAGTGTTACAGTGGTATAGAACTAAACAAGAATCAATGATGTTATCAGACTGTCTGAAAAACTTCTGATCTAATTTGAAAGCTTTGGATAAGTTGATAGCATATAAAATAAATCTTTTGCTCTAGTTGGTGGTGATAAGTTTTCAGGTGGAATACTGTCTCCAGTTTTGGACAGCACATGTCATGAAGGATATACGTAATGGTGAATGTCCCGAAAGAAAACAATAAATAGTCAGCAGTTCTAAAATGTGGTCTATAAAAAGAATCATGAATAAGATAAAGAATGATCTGAGATTCTAGTTTTATCTAGATGGAGACATTTTAACTATCTTCTAGTAGATAAAAGATGTGAAAAATAAATAAATAAAAAAAATCATGTTTTCCATACACTGATTAAGAAATAAATGAAGTCATTCCTTTCAAAAAAGTATACAGTATAGTATAAAAGTATAGTATACAGCACTGGAGAATCTTAAGGAAAAGTCAAAAAAATGACAAGGAAAAACAATCTAAGAAAATGGAAGTGTGTTTAGAATTCAGTGAATTCCACTCACTAAAACTAGTTCTCTAGGTAAATCATTTCTTTCCTCACTCATAACAGGGTAACAATAAGGAGTGTAATGGGAATTCATATCCATTGGTCCTCTAATAGTCTGGTAATAATTTTGCTCATTATGGTACCTCTCATTTTTGCAATACTTTTTAATTTTAATATTATGACTTATTCTACAAATGAAATGTCAAATAACATTTTTTTTTTTAGAGTGAAAAGCAATCCAGAAGGTATTGATATTTTTAAAATTCTTCCTTTATCTGGTTTAATAGTCTGTCTTTTCACCTGCTGCTCTATGAAGTATTTAGAGAAGCAAAACAGCAAAATAGTTTGTCTGCAATTTACCTTATCTATCATGAAGTTTAATTCACTTCACCTGTGACTTTAGTCTCATGCTTTCACAAAGTAATATTGAGAAGAAGCTAGGGCTTACAGATCATTAACTCTCCTTAAGTAACAATTCATGTCATAAAAATAAGAGAACTTCTGCTTTTGCGGATATAACCTTTCTTAGAGTAGCCAAGGGGTGAGAATACAGAGATGGAGAAGTGGTTTAGCTTAGATAATATGTCATAGAACCCCATCCTAGCTGATGTCTGTGAGTAGGCAGACAAATAAATCTGGGGTTATTCCTATTTGTACTTTGCTAGCAGCAACTAGTCTGCTGCTGTGATAGCAAATGCTAAAGTAGAACCGTGCGATGCTGTGCAGGATCACTTTTGTTGATTCTTGCTTATACTTACAATAAATGACAATTTTTTTTTTGTGTTCAGGTAGGCTGACTAAATCTTGAGAGAAGAGTCATTTCCATTCTCTTAGAATTTCAAATTGCTGGTGATTTTCTGGTATGAATCTGCAGGTCTAAAATTTAGAGTTTTAGCCATGGATCAGTATGAGAAAGCAGTGAGTTTGACAGAGCATCTGTATATTGCTTGTACTTTCTATATCAAGAAATCTTTTCTCCTTTTATAATTTGAGAGAGAAAGAAGACAAAAAAATCACTGATACACTTTGCACAAAACTTCAGCTTTTGATTAAAACAAAGAAACCAAACCAAAACAGAAATATCATGAGGCCCTAGAAGAGATGTAATACTTACCTTAATATCAGGCTTCAATAAAAGGTGAACTTCTAATTTTGAAGGAGCAAATTTTTTTTTGAAGGGTGTGGAATATTATCAAAATAGAAGCCCTGCAAAAGACTGGCTTGTAGACGGATAAGTAGTTTAAGTACTATCTTAACTAAAGTGAAATACTCTTCTTGTAAGGTATATTTAGGTATATTGCTTGGGAGATGATTAAATTTTAGTATAGTCTGTTCAGTTGTAAAAAATTCAAAATAGTGATAATCCTAGATATGAATCTTTTAAGTTTGATTTGATTAGGTAAATTGGATTCAATGCTAGACTCCTTTGGGATATTCTCCTCATATACTAATGCACATAAATGAAAGAGGAAATACCCTGAGCCTAGTCCACATGACAGTAACAGAAGATTATCAAGATATTATTATTGAAAAAGAATAAACTAGAAGTTATAAAGAAATCAATGTTTCCCCTGAAGGTATGTGAGGTGTAACATAAGCAAATGGGATACTAGATTTTTGTTGAAAGGGAACAGATATCACATCTGTTTCCACAATGTAAACGTATGTTCTCTTGCCATTCAGTGATCATCACTCATGAGGGACAAAATCATTTATAGCTTTCTGCAAGCATAGAAAAGTCAGAAAGAATCCAATCTCATTTAAACCAGATTTACTTACATAGATTCACAGATTTTTTTAGAGCCAGAAAGGTCTGTTTTGTTCATTTAGTCTGACCTCCCACATATGATATCCTTTAACCTATGAATTAATTCCTGTCTTAAGAACAAAGACCTATGATTGAATCAGAGCATATATATATATATTTAAGAATATTAGAAATAATTCCAACTATTAAAAATATATTTATATAGAACAACAATTCCTATTTTTTCTTTCTTTTTACTATTTGATCTACATATCATGGATTTATGTGACATGAATGTATAAATCAAAATGTATAAATTAAACATTTTAATACACTTCAGATTTATTTGCCTTTGACCATTACACAAATCTCGTATCTCTGCTTTCCAGATAAGCAATTTATAGGACTAAATAAATAGTATCTTGATTTTTTTTTTAATTTTAATTGCATTAAAGATGAACGCTTTGTTTTAAAGCAGGAATATATTCTTACTTTTTAACCACTGTAGAGAGCTTCTGTGCACTCCATCCATTCTGAACTGAGGGAATAGGAATTGGACTTGAAAGTAATTTAATTTGGGAGTAATATAGTATTTCTGTTTCTGTCTCCAAAGATTTCCATTAAAATCTTTTGCCAGAACACTAGTCTTGATGATTCATAGTCTGCTGGCTATCCAGGACACCCATGATTATTTTACCGAATAGAATATTTTATCTTCTAATATACATGTAATGCAATATTTAAAGTTGCAATTTTACATTTGTCTGTATTTTATTACAGTATGTGTTTAATAATTAATTCTGTTGTCTGGCTCACCAGATAAGGTATCTTACTAGGCAGCTTGTCTATCTACGTTGTTGCTTAGTAGTTCTCTAAATCTTGCAGGAGTGGAAGGTTTATCACGGCTGGTTTATTTTGCTTTCCAGGTCATTAATAAAAAATCTTGAATAGTCTGAAAAAAATACCCAGTTCTTATAGGACTATCACAAGATACATATCTTTTTTGTAATTCTTTTATTAGTTATACTTACACTTTGAGATTTTTCAAGAGGTTTCAGGTCCTCCTACAAATGCCTATGTAGCTGCTATAAAGTGTTCTTGTTTTTTAAAAAAGTTGTGCAGTGCTAAGCCATATGTTGAGAGAATCCCATAATAACTATTTTGTTAAAATAATATGACTTTTATCAGTTAAACTTGTACTTTCATCCTAAAAGATGAAATTAGACAAAAGTTATTAATGTTGCTGTTCAGCATTGCAGCTTTTTTTTCAGAATTTCTGTTTGTGTCAAAGAAAGCATTTCACTAGGCCATCAGTAAAAGTCCAGATTGCTTTTAGGCATTTAGACAATGAGAGATTTAGGCTCAATGTCCAGCTTTGTGAGGCTTTGTATGCAGGTATCAGGATAGGATCCTTATGAGTACTTCACTTTTGACCAAATGATTTACATGTTCACAAGTTCAACTTAAAAAAAAAAAAAAAAAAAAAAAAAAAAGGTGGTAAGAA